GGTGCTACTTTCTAACTGTGACTGTACACTAAGCATTTAGCTATTTTGAATCTCAATTTCCTGATCTGTAAAATGAGAGTTGGGTTAATTAATCCCTATGGTCTTTTGAATTCTGTGAGTCTGACAGAAATTTTATTCAATGATTTGTGTTACAAACATGAGCCAGGTCAAAATACTTTTCAAATATAGTCTGCCTCTGGGCTCTTCACACTACAGTGGCTAATCTTCCCTTTGGAAGTTTTCAATTTAAATCAAAACAGCACCCTTTGTTATTTATTGAGGTGTTTGTATTTTTCTTATTGGAGATATAGATTACTTCTACACAGGAATTGCAATGAACTGAAATGAGGCTTATTTGAGAGTAATTAGAATACTTAGAATTAAAGAGCTTTGAAGGTGGTGTAAATTAGTGCTTTCTCTTCTTACAGAAGAGTATTTTATTTCCAGATGCTTGAGATGATCTAAACAAAGAAATTCATTTATCATGGCAAGATTTCTTTAACCCAATACTACTTATCTTATTCTGTTCAGAGAAGCTGCCAAAGGGTGCTTAGGCAGAAACATATAGTATAACTTACTGTGCAGTTCAGAGGGACCAGAATCTCAGATAGCATGTAAGAAGGTATCCTGTTCCGTTGTCCTTCTGGGCTGTAAGTTCATCCATGTTTGACGAGAGAAGAGAAATGCTAGTCTTTCTTCTCTGTAGGAAGGTAGACTGCCTGGCACACACATATTTACATGTGGATTTGAGATGAGGGTTCGGTCAGTGCTTTTCCAGCCTTCTCTGGCCTTTGGGAGAAGGGGAAGACTTTCTGTCCTTCATCAGCTTTTTCTAGATGTGAAATCTAAGGTAGTTTTCTTACTGCAGCCAAGATGGAATTCAGCTAATTTCTGGAATTACTCTTAATTTTTATGGCTGTTTATCTGGAACGTTTCTGAGTACTCATGAAAGGGTTAGGGACTAGAGGTACCAGGCACACCTAAATCTGGCCATTTTGTCTATCCTCACTCGAGGACTTTTTTTTTTGCATTTATCTTCAGATAGAGTGGGAAGGAAAGAGGGAGGAAGAGAGAGAGAGAAATATCGATGTGAGAGACACATCAGGTGGCGAGTGGTTGCCACCCACACAACCCCAACCGGGGTCTGGACAAACTGCCACCGAGGTACGTGCCCTTAGCGGGAATCGAACTCGGGACTCTTTGGTCCATGAGCTGACACTCTAACCTCTCAGCCAAATTGGCCAGGGCTAAATCTGGCCATTTTGAACCCTGGGCAGTAGCTCTACCCCTTTGGCCCTAAAGCCCAAAACATAGGTCCACCACAAATCTACATGCACCTCCAAACAACACTGTACTGCTTCCCAAGTAGTGCACATGCCCAAATGAGACCTGAGAAATTTCAGACGCTATGTCCTGTCTCCCTCCTTTGAACTCTGGAGTGTTCCAAAATTACAAGGCGTCTCTGGGTTTGGGTCACCTGATTAAAACTAGAAGCACTGTTTAATCCATAAAAATACTCTGTAATGGAAAATGACTAAATCAATTTGGTTTAAAATGAATCAACTTATGTTATTTTATTATTTTGTTGGGTTTAGACGAGTTCTGGTAGAGCCTTGGTAGAGAGGAGGTAAGGAAGGTGATTGTTTCCTAGGTCAGATTAATGGGAGACATGGGTTCTAGTCCTGGTTTCATCTCTAGTGTGGTGTTAGGCACGTTGGCTAACCTCCATGTGCCTTAGTTATCTCAGACGCCAAGTGGCTGCTTGCCTTCTAGACCGAGTTCTTGTAAAAATAAGAAAATATTTCTGTGTCTTGAAAATGTTAAAGCCATGGTGATTACTTAAAATTGTATAGCATTTAATATGAAATGGATACTCTTAATAACCATGTGCAAAATTAAATTTAAGAGTCACAATTGGGACATTATTTCTCCAATTAAAAAGTTTTCTGTAACAGGGATTGAACCCAGGCTGGAATTTGTATCAGACTAATTGTGTTCATAGCAAGTGAGTTGGAAATTTAGTCCATTAGTTCCTTGATTTCTGAGGAGTTGAGTGTGAGAATTTAATGTTGGTTGCAGGTTCTCAGTTACCATGGCGTTTTAGCCGTTAGTCTGATTGAAGCGTTCTCTAACAGCTCTGTTCTTCTAGAGGAGGCAGAGACAATAATCCCGCTGGCTTGGCGGACGGACGCCTGTCTGTTTAGATACGGTGTCTCCACGCAGAGTCCCCTCAGGGACCTGGGGAGAGGATGAAGGGAGGCCAGCTGGGCTCCCAGGGACGGAGACAGGAGACCTTGCTCTGCTCTGCTTCCCACTCATTGTGCTGCCCGGGCCCTATCGCTGGAGAGACCTGGCAAGGAAGTGAGGCGGAAGCCAATGCCACTGCTGGCTCAGTGTTCCAGTGTGGTTGGAAAGTTTGAGAAGTGGCCTGGGTGAGAAGAACAAGACCTTATTGACAGGGTTCAGTCCTGCTCAGGTCTGTTTCACATCAGCCTTCTACATAATCACAGCTCTCCCTGCACCGTGGCTCTCTAGCACTTTCACCTCTGCCTTAAAAAAGCCAAAAAAACCCACAGAACTTTCTGTGCAACTGTGGTAGAACATAAAGTATTTAACTTTTTATTCTAAGACCAATGATAAAACATGACTGCTTCAAAATGACAACACCAACAAGATAAAACAAAACATACTTCCTAGTTTTTCCACCTGCTGTAAAAGTATTCTTATTGTGAATGCTGTTTTTGTTAAGCTGTTTTCTCACTGATTGATTTGTAAGACTACTGACTATTCTTACATTTCTGATGGTCATGTAGAATGACCTGGCTTGTTCTGGTCTGAAAGGAGTATGCCTAACCATTCTTCTTTTTCTCCACATGAGTCTGTAAACCAGAATATTTATGTCAAGAAGTCAGAAGAAAATCTGTTGGAAGTTCTAATGAACTCCAAGTGTGTCCCTTTTATACCTTGTGTTGTCATCCTGCTTAAATCTATGCATGATTTCTGCATTAGTGCAGAAAACACTCTCTTGACAATCCTGTCATTTTTCAGGACTCATTGATGTCTCCAAGTTCAGCTGTAAGCCAAGTAATGATAATAATAAGGCCTTCTTTTTTCTTTTTCTTGGAATAGCTGATAGGAACCTTCAAAGCTCAGAAGGTATTTTAAGCTTTTTTAAATAGAGGAAACCAAAGAAAATCCAAATATTCCCAACTACTTTTGAGTATACAAATTTTCTAGTAGTTGGAGCCTCCCATTTTTCTGTGTGGATGGGATGGAGCAGAAGAGCAGTTGCAGGATTGCTTGTCAAATGTCTGCACAATTCATTTTCTGAGCAAGGCTGGTGACTTATAATTCCTCTAGAATGGTGATTTCTCATACTTTCTGTATCTACAAGTGGCACATGAAATAATTAGTTTAAATGGACTATTCTTACCCAGAAATTTTAAAAATAATTATAAAACACCAGTTGAATATACTTGTGTTTAGTTAGACACCCTCATTTACTTCTTCTTTATCTAATCTTCACCAAAGGACATGCTGAGAGAGAGGAAGGGTGGGGGGGAGAGAGAGAGAGAGAGAAACATTGGTGTGACAGAGAAACATCGATTAGTTGCCTTCTGTGTGTGCCTCAACCTGGTATCCAACCTGCAACCCAGGTATGTGCCCTGGCTGGGAATTGAACCTGCAACCTTTCGGTGTACTCCACTGGGCTAGACACCCTCATTTAATGTAGAGATTAACTGCATAATTTAAGGTGCATACAAATTAAGCACTTATTATTTTATAAAAAGGATAAACAGTCTTCTTTTAAGTTTGTGTGCATGCACATGTATATTCAGTGATAATACAAATCTGAACATGTCTACCAACCCCCACCCTGACTCCCACCTTAAAATCCTTTCTTTAGTGGCTTTCCTGAGCTAGAAGCCAACTCTCACCAGTGCCTGGAAGGCCTCCCCGCAGAGGCGCTCTGCTTCCTCCTCTCCACCAGTGTCTTTTCTCAGTGGGGTCAGCACGCTGGCATTCTCTCTCCTCATGCTCACCGGCTCTCTCCCCCTAGCTACTGTCTCATCCCTTCCTAAGCGATGCCTTTTTGCAGCCCTCAGAATTAGTTTTGCTTTATGTTTGTACAGTATCAAGGCCTTCTGCTTTGCCTCACATATTTTACACCAGTGATTTTCAGCCTTTTTTAATCTCATGGCACACATAAAACTAATTGGTAAAATTCTGTGGCACACCAAAAAATGTATTTTTCACCGATCTGACAAAAAATAGGTATAATTTTGATTCATTTACACCAGATGGTTATTGTTATGTTAGCTGCTGTCATTTTTTAATTTGACAATCTAAGGGAAAAGAGGTCAGTGCTCCTGACTAAATAGGCAGGCATTGCTTGGTTTAAAAATTCCTGCAGCACACCGGATGAAAATCACTGTTTTACATAGCTAGCAAGTGGCAAAACCTGACTCAAAATCCATCTGATTCTGTCTGGCTGGTGTGGCTCAGTGGTTCAGCATCAACCCATACACCAAGAGGCTGCTGGTTCCCGGTCAGGGCACATGCCCAGGGAGTGGGCCCGATCCCTAGTGAGGAGCATGCAGGAGGCAGCCAGTTGATGTTCTCTCTCATCGATGTTTCTATCTCTCTCTCCCACTCAATTCCTCTTGTAAAGGAATAAAAAAAAAATTTAAAAAGAAATTCATCTGATTCTGAAGCATCATGTTTTTTCTTTTGCCCCATATTGAGTATGACAGTGATAACACTTTACTGTGCTTCTGTGGCACGCAAACGAAATAATGTCTATGAAAATGTATAGTGAACAGTGGAACAGCATTCAGTGTTAACCACCATCATCTGTATTCCTTTTATTTTGTTTACCATGATTCTTAATTTAAGTTCATATATCCTCTTAAATGCTTTCCTCATAGCCCTTAGTCTTGGCTGCTTTCTTGACTAGCCATGATGGGTCTGACATTTGTCAATTTTCCTTCTCTTCCCAGGATGGCTCCTACTTGGCTGAGTTCCTGCTGGAGAAAGGCTATGAGGTGAGTGACTCAGTGAACAAGCACAGGCTAGTGGAATCACTTAGACACAGGGGCCTCCCACTTCCTCTGCTGCCGTCCTCCTGTGTGTGTTTTCCACTGAAACTCTGATAACAAATCAAAATCAGGGGAAGAATGTGCCTTTTGGCTTGTAACCATGCCAGCTCATTGTACTGTTTATCTACTGGTGAGCACTGGTGGCTTCCCCTGTTCCTTAGTGTTTAACTGCTCTGCACACTTCCCACATTCTCAGATAAAGCAGCAACCTGTGTAAGCCTAACAGCTATAACATCATTAGGGTTAATTTATGATGTGGTGTGTTACATAAAAAAGCCCCACTCACAGTGAAGTCACTTAATTCGGAAATTGCACAGAGCAATAAAAACCAAGTTGATCTCTGGCAAGCTTAAATGAAAAATTAACACTTACAGATTTTGATTTTTGAAAGGCAGCCATATAATTTATGGAAGCCGAAACTTCTGTGTTTGCTGCTATCATTGCCTTTGTTATCGTCTTTTACTCCTCCTCCTTCTTCACATTTCCTGCTTTCTTTAAAAGAAACAAGGGTATTATATTATAAATTTGATATGTTTTGTATGTACATCTTACCTTTTTAAAGAACAGTTTTCAGATATGTACATCAGTGTAAATTCATGTTATACAGAGAACAAAAACCTGCACAGTGACCCATATGCTGTGGCCTGATTTGGGAGTATTTACATTAATAATTTTGGATTCTCTGTTTATCCCAGTTGGAGGGGCATTGCACTGTCGGAAAATGGGAAAACACCAGTAAGGAATTTGGCATCTAAACCAAAAGGATTTGAAGAAAAGGAAACTAATTTTCTTACTTGAACTCATAATCTTGTCTGAGAGCCTTGACTTTGAGATTTTACGAATAACAGATAGTACCTTCTGTATCCTTATCTAAGAGCTAGTTCTGTACCTGGCAATAATATCAAAATAAGGCAGTGTAATTATAAATTTATTATACATGTACACAAATATTCACATACATAGATTTTTACTACAATTGAGCAATAAATGCATATTCTACAGAGCAGCAGATTTTAGAATGGATCATATGCCATGTAGAAAAGTGAGTTCTAGGTGCAGGCTGTTTTTTATTCAGGCTAGATGAACATGATGTTGCAGTAAATCTGAAAGGAAGGGTGTGGCAGAGAGACTTTGGGACAGAGCAAGAGGTCTTTGGTGGCTAGAGAGGAGTTAGTGAATTGGCTGTGTATCGAGTAAACCAAGAGAAGAGCTAACTGAGTAATAGTTGATGGGTTCAGGACATGCTACTCCAAAATATGACACCTTGACATAATGCATATTTTAAGCTGAAGGAGTCTGAGAAAATGGCAGAAGTTTCTCCTGTAAATCTGTCTTTGTCAGTTTCATGTAGAGGAGGAAAAAGTCTTTCTTGACCCTCTTAGGGTCCCTGGCTGGGTTTGAAAATTAACCTGAAAAGTGTACAAATTTATTTAATATAAGTTTTATATGACATGAAGTTTTCATGAGGAAATGAAGATCTGAAGAGACAGTTAAGCCTAAGTATTTTTTTGTTAGGTTTGATGGAGAGTGGACAGTCGTGGAGAAATATGGTAGGTAGGTCAAGGAGTGAGAGCTAAGTGTAGTACACTAGGGGAAACCTAGCAAGTTCTGTTTGTTAGGATTCTTTTTGGTGTCCCCTTGTTTTCGCAAATAAGGATGCTCCTTTCCTCTGCATGTCGGGGGGGGGGGCACCTTTTACATGGAGGTTTTATGACTGCTTCGAGGGAGAAGGGCAAGGGGAAATTCAGAGTGGCCTTCCTGCTTCTGCCATTTTCTAAAACTCCTTCCGCTTAATATATTCAATATGTCAAGGTGCTGTATCTTGGGGTAGTGTTCCCTGAACCCCAATTGTAGTCATGACAGTTTTGTAAGAGAGGGGTGGTATATCAGAAGGAATGCTCGAACTGCATAGGTGTTGGGATCTACTTCCAAGGTGGACCTGGGGGATTAAGACTTGAGAATGAGGATGGTGGTGGTGGTGGTGGTGGGGGGGGTGACAAGCAGTGTCTAGCTAGTCTAGAGGAAAAGGTAGTGGCAGTGTGAGGTGTGGTGGTCTCTGATAAGGTGGTGAACTAGTGGGTGGGCTTGATGTTTGTCTGGATATGATAGATGGTAAACATTCTTGGTAATCAGGATGGTGCTGTCAGTATTTTTGGAAAAGGCTAGGAATAAGACATGCATGGAGAAGCAAAGCTCCATTTAGGTGGCTTGTTAAGGAATTAGCAGACTTGAGAGGATAGGTAGTAATGTTACTAAATGGATGAAAGACTTAGAAATACATGTAATAAGAAACTGGGACTGTCACAGGAACTACAAATTCTTTTGTCCCACTGGCATTTGAAATTTGAAGGACAGATTTTATTCTGATAAAGACAGATAATAATTGGGGAGGGGAACATCTGTATCAAAAATAAATTAATTAAAAAAAAAAGACAGATAATAGAAGGCCCATTTGGCAAGTCATAGTTAAAGGGAGGAATGAATCACTGAAACAATGACTGGCAAGGAAAAAAAAGGTTTGTGAGTGAGATCCATAAATTGATAGAAAGAAATACTAAAGACAATACAGTGGAAGGTACAGAGGTACAAAGCATAACCAGAAATGATTCTTCCTCATAGTACAAGGGAAAGTGAGTTTGTAGGAATGAGGGGAGTGAAAGTGTGTTTCTCTGTACTATATTCAGTTTTTATAGGCTGCTATCTTCAGTTTTAAGAGTGTGATAAAATTGGAGGGTAAGCTATTGAGAGGAATCTGATGGTAGCACAGGCTTCATCTTTTTGTGCTTAGGTCAAAGTAAATGTGAGAGTGATATTTCCAAGAGGTTGCATTGGAAAATTTCCAGATTTATCAGCCAGCAGTCCCTGGTTGCTCAAGACCATGAGCAAAATAACAGGGTTGTTTAAATAGCATGCAGTAGAATAAGAGGGGGATACATATGCGAATTGACAGGGTCAACATCAGCAATTGTGGATGAGCATAGACTTCTGATTCAGCAGGTTCTCAACCTTGAATGTGCATCAGAATCTCCCAGAGCTCATTGTGACACAGATGGCTGACGCAGAGGTCTGGAACCTGCCTTTCTAATGAGCCCCTACTTGTTGCTGATGCTACCCTCCTGGGTACTGCAGTTTGAGAACCACTGCAACTAAAGATTCAAATTAGATCATTTAATCATAAGATAATTTGTGGGGACTTGCTTCTGTGAGCTTTCATATTATTTTGAATCTGGCCTTTCTACAAGGAATATTACTAGGAATATTACTGTACACACAGACAGAAAATAAAAGGATAGAAAAAGAGCTCTAGCCAAGGTGCTCAGTGGTTAGAACATCACCCATGCACTGAAGGGCCAAGGATTTGATTCCCACTCAAAGGCACATGCCTGGGTTGCAGATTCAATCCCCAGTTCCAGTCTAGGTGCATATGGAAGGCGACCAATCGATGTGTTTTTCTCACATTAGTTTCTCTCTCTCTCTCTCTCTCTCTCTCTTTCTCTTTCTTATCCTGACTCTTTCCCTCCCTTCCACAGTCTCTAATAATTAATGGAAAAAGTATCCTTAGGTGAGGATTAACAACAAAAAAGGGTGGATAAAGATGTTTCATGCACGTGGCAACAACAGAAAAAGCTGTGGTAGATTTTTTTGTATCAGACAAAGTAGGCTTTAAAACAAAGGCTATAATAAAGACAAAAAAAAAAGGACATTACATAATGATTGAGGGATCAGTCCAACAAGAGGATATTACCCATGTACATCTTTTTGCACCCAATATAGGAGCACCTAAATATAGAAAGCAAATTTTGATGGACATAAAGGGAGAGATTGACAGTAATACAGTCATAGTAGAAGATTTTAACACACAATTGACATCAATGGATAGGTCTTCCAGACAGGAAATCAATAAGGAAAGGGTGGCCTAAAATGACACACTAGGTTAGATGGATTTAATTAATAACTTGAGAGCATTTCACCCCAAAGCAGCAGAATATACATCCTTATCAAGGGCATGGGGAATATTTTCCAGGATGGATCACGTTAGAACCCAAAACAAATCTCAATAAATTTAAGAAGAATGAAATCATATCAAGCATCTTCTCTGACCACAATTGTATGAAGCTAGAAATCAGTTAAGAGAAAAAAAAACAAAACACTGAAAAACACACATAGAGGCAAAATAACATGTTACTAAACAGTGACTGAGTTAACAAGAACAAGGAATAAATCAAAAGAATACCTTGATACAAATGAAAATGAGAACAAAGCAATAAATGGGACACAGTGAAAGCAGTCCTAAGAGGGAAATTTATAGCATTACAGGACTACCTCAGGGAAAAAAAATCTCAAATAAATAATCTAACTTGACACTTAAAGGAATGTTAAAATGAACAACAAACAAAGCCCAAAGTGAGCAGAAGAATGGAAATAATAAAGATCAGAGTGGAAATAAACAAAATAGAGTCTAAAAAAACCATACAAAAGATCAATGAAACCAAGAGTTCTTTGAAAAGATAAACAAGATTGATGAAATTTTAAATAGACTCATCAAGAAAAAAGAGAGAGGACCTAAACAAAATCAGAAAGGAAAGAGAAATGACAACTGACACCAATGGAATACAAAGGAGTATAAGAAAATATTATGAGCAATTGTATGCCAACAAATTGGACAGTCAGGAAGAAAAGGATAAATTCCTACAAACATACTATCTTCCAAAACTGAATTAAAACCAAAAAAATCTGAATACACTGATTACAACTACAATGAAATTAAAGCAGTAATCAAAAAAAATTCCTGCAAAAAAGTCCTAGACCAGATGGCTTTATGGGTGAACATTACCAAACATTCAAAGAAGAACTAACACCTGTCCTCCAACTATTCCAAAAAGTTCAAGAGGAGGGAAGACTTCCAAGCTATTATTATGAGGCCAACCTTATCCTAATTCCAAAAC